AGATCCCGGGAATAACATCGGAGATCTCTGTCCAGAAGAGCGCAGTCCTGGGAACAGCTAAGATACTGCGCAGAACCCTCAAGCTCCCAGGCCTCTGGTAGAGGACCCGAGCTTGAAGGATAAACCGCCCGCAGGGGCGTGCTGGGTGTTTTTATATATATATAATTTTTTTTTTTACAATACCGAGTATCCTGTTTGAGGGGTCTGTGTCTTGTCCCAGGTTTCTGGTACTGGAGTGGAAGTTTGAACCAAAGGCCTTCTGCAGAGAGAAAGGGTTAGAATGACTTTAATTATTGTTTTTAAAGGTTGAAAACACACATCAGATAAATGTAATTAATGATCACTGCGGTAAGCAGACTTCTTTTCTTTATTCAAACTTTAAGTTTTAATTTTAAATGAATAAAATATTTTTCTGTTATAAGCGACAATGAAAAACATCATATTTTTAATTTCTTGCAAATTCCTTGAAAAACAAACCAACGAAAGAAAAAAAAAAACAACCCCAAACTAAAGAATTGTGACTCATGCTGAGGCTCCACATAGACGGGGAAATAACTGTTTGATACCCTGCTGAATTTGTAGATTTGCTCACTTTACAAAGAAATTAAAATATAAAGTCTCTCATTTTGATGGTCGTTTCATTTTAATGGAGAGATCAACCAAAAATTCAGAAACAAAACCCCAAATTACCGAGTTCTTTGATCTGCATGTCATTGAGTGAAATAAGGATTTGATCCCATACAAGCGAGCCAAATGAACACAGCTAATAAGTGAAACAGAAGAATTTAAGAACAATCAGGGTTGTTCCTACAGTCTTTGAGTCTTATTAAGTTAAGTTACTAAGTAGCTCAACAGTGTCTCTAAGAAACCTGTAGACATCATGTTTTGTGAAATCTTTGTTGACTAAAAAGCTAATATGACCAGTTACTGATATGGCTAGCTACTTATTTACATCTCCATGAGTAAATAATCAACATCAGAATTCATTTAGAGTCACGTTTCGTCTTCTTGAAAGAGATATTTGGCTGTGTCAAAAATTAAATCAGCATTGAAATCCCCCAAAACAACTGCAATTCCTTAAATGGCCACTTGAAGTTAGCTTAAAAAGTTGACCCACTTTTGTGGATAATGTTTAGATTACAACCTGGTACAAAATAATGGTTTTTGTCTCTGTCATATATATACACATATATACACACACACACACACACACACACACACTTTTTTTTTTTCTTTTTTTTTTAGATTTGTTTCTTTTAGACTTCTATGACCAAGAGAAAACCCGAATGTTGGCATGGTTACCCATCAGTACTGAACAGAAATGTGTTAGGTTTAAGCCAATATCTCTAAATCAAATCCCATCTCCAACTGGAATTCGAGTGGAGTATCTGTCAGAATGAAGCTGCAGCAGCATTCAAAGATCTCATGATTGAGAAAAAAAAGGTAAAGGGGTTTGAAAACTTTCTTGCGGGGCTGTTTTTGGGATGACGTACCTGACTCTCTTTGTTAGGACATCTGCAGCAGAGACAAACCGTGGTCGCCTGCACACAAGCCTTTTGGTGCCATAATGCTTGTTTGTCTGCATCATGTCTGACGGGTAAAAAAGTTTAAACTTACATAATAATTATAAAGCCAGCTGTACATGTTAGCATTTCTGAAGTCAGCAAACAGAGACAGTTTCCATATTCTTTGTTTACCTTGGAAACTGAGTGAATATGAGTGTGAACCAGCAGTGAACTCCAACACGTCTTTATCATTGGCCAGAAACTTCTCCTCCAGCTTTGTGCTGTTGATGTCTGCTGTTTTATGTCCACTAGTCTGCAAAGCAAGAAAACTGAGCGAGTTTTTGACCTCAAACCTGCACTGGGACATTAATAAAGTTGATTGATTATAATACCTGAGCTAATCGTAAATCAGCATCATTATAATTCTTTTAGAGAAACTTTGTCTTTAAGGAGACCTGACTGCATCAAGCACTTAAGTACCAAAAAACAGCCTTAAAAAGCTCACCCAAATTTACAGCAGAACTGAATATGCTTACGGGCTGGTACAAAAATGGGTTTTGGTATGTTTTTTTTGCACATTGAAATAACATTGAAACCTAGGTACTAGCTCAGGCTCCTTCCACACCAGAGAAGTGACAATCCATGAACTACAAGCTAGTTTTTGGAAGCTACTCTGCAACTTTTGCTATCTAGCAGCCAAATATGATTCCTGGCTGGAAAAGTTTTTTCATATATTTTTTTCATTTAAAATTTCTCCCTGAGTGTAATGGAATCACTGCTGATGCCAGATCAGGATGATATTGTTGGAGGATAGAACAACAACATGAAACACAAACTGAAAAGCACTGAAATGCACAGTAGAGTTCTCCTGTAGGGGAAACAAACCACTGCAGGCTCAAACTATGAGGGATTTTTCACATTACAAATAGTTTATTTGTGTTTTTCAATAAAACTATTAAATCAGACTCACAATTAGTTACATTTTTTGAATGTGGATACACAGTGGACTGTTAAAGTCGTGCCTTAATGTCTTAGCAATCTGCCAAAATTTCTGCAAACACTCTGTAGTTACTCACAGCGGATGCAAACATGTTCCAACTCCCAAACTCATCCTGCCAGTACCAAAGCCACTCGGTGGTGTGGATGAAGGTCGGCTCAATCACCGAGTTTTCTGTCGAGAGTCGACGCACTTTGTTCCATCCACAGGTCATCGTGTCAAAGTGCACGGCCGGGCTGGTGCTACTGCAAAAAAACAATCAAAGTATTAACATGAAGATGGTCAGTTATGCAAAAACTTTGATGATTTTTATGATTCTTTGTTCAGTATTTTGTGGTGATTTAAACTAAATTTCACTATAATAATTTTGGTGAATAATGTGGTACGTGAAACAAACGCTGCGTGCCTGAAATGACCATTTTAAGAACATTATCTTGCACTGACATCATACAGAGCCAACATCAAAACCTTTTACCCTCATAAAAATTACTATCACATACACTGAGCTTGATTTTAGTTTAAAAGAAGCATCTGTTATTTTATCAACGCATATTTGAAAAAAAGTGGAAATGCTTAATAGTTCCACTAGATCTTAAGAAACCCTGAGATGTCTGAGTTGCAGAATAAATGTAAGTACCTGTATGAGTTACTGGGGTCACAGTAGTCTCTCTCAATTGTCTCATTATCGGGCAAATCAGTCCACTGGTGTCCCTCTTGGACCTGCCATCGGTACGGCATCTTGTCATGAGCTTTAAAACATCGATCTAAGAAGAAAGAAGAAAGACAGCTGATCAAAGTCAAGAAAGAACTACATTAAAGCCTCAAACACTTACTAACCATGACGTTCTCACCATCATGTTTGCAGTGACCTTTGATGAAGTACATGCAGATCCCTGTTTTATCTGAAAGAAACAGGAGATATTTCACAGGCTTCATTCAGACAGCAGTTTTAGTTCATCTCCCCACAGAAGTATTTTCAGCTGTTGCTTACCTCTGACAGGCCTCTGTCTATTATTCTGCCATTCTCCACCTTTAGCAGCTTCATCATTGACAGCAGCATGAATGTCACTTAAGGAACGAGCATTTTGAAAACGCTGATGGTTGCCCCTGTTCCTGGTAGCGGCGACAGTGATGTCACTGGTGGGAGAGTTGTCATCGTCACTTTCATTCAGTCCATCGCTGGACCACAGGTCAAAGCCATCAATGTTTGCAGCAATGTTACTAAGTGAACGGGCTCGATGCAGATCTGGGCGGCTGCTGTGGCTTCCTCTGTTTCCTCTAAAGCCTCTGCTGAGCTGATGGCCACCTCTCCCTCTGCCTCTCTGACTTCGTTGACCATGGTCACTGACTCCAGCCAGCTTCAAAGCCTGTTTATTTGCATAAGTAGCCTTCAAGGACTGAAAGAGTGTGTCAGGTACGCCTCTAGCTTTCAAAGCTTTGAATGGCTGTGGAGCATTAAAATCGTGGTTCTTCCAGCAGCTGCATTCACGGCTGATGTAGTTCTCACAGATGTGGAGCCTCCTGCAACCATCACCATCCTGACACCTGCCGAACTCTCCATCACCATTGTTGTAGTTGTAGCATATCTGATGGAGAAAGGGGGGAAAAGGGGAGTTACAAAAGTATACTGTATATAAAAGATGAATATAGCCATCGTGATGTCCAACTTCTTTATTTGTATTTTTTCCAACTTTATTTTTATTCAACAGGAACATTAACATTTACACAGACACAACAAGGGAAAAAAGGAAAAAAGAAAAGCAAACAACAAAATTTAAAAAAAAATAGAAGGGGGGGGGATTCACCCAAGGCAATGTGAAGTTACTAAAATGTAATTTTTCCACTTGGAGATATACAGTGTATCTTGCTCGTTTATATATACACCTACATCTATGTACATACTCACACACACTTGCAAGTATCTACATACCATTCCACCCGCTCCATTACACCTAGGGCTGCCACAAACGATTACTTTGATAGTCGACTAATCAGATCATCATCCATTGGACGTAAAACGTACAGCTTATTGCACCAGCAGCATCTGCTCGTATATAACTATCATTAGCTTACAGCTTTAAGTGTGTAAGGTCTGTGCTAACTAAAAATAAAGACAAGATGATAGTTTATTAAATTTTAATGAAATTTGCAGATTGTTTCGGTGAAGTTTAATAAACTCCTTGCTATCTAAAATATAACAGGACACTGGAGTAAATTCTCGAGCATCTCACACTTCTGATAATCAGCTGTCTGCTTGATGTTTACTCAGCTGTGTAAAAACTATAACTTTAATCTCAGCCAAACCGATTTACTCAGGAACAAATAAAATACTGAAAAAAGCCAAACAATAACATTTTAAGTTATCTAAGTGACTTATATATATATATGTTTAACCTGAGTAGCGAAAGACAGCGGTGGGTTTGAAAACGATTTGCCGGGAGTCCGGTGTTCTCACGGCTCTAGTTAGCCTAGCCCCCGGCTAGCTATCGAGCTAGTGGGTAACAGACGTCTCTGAAAACGTCGGAGCGCTTTTGAAAATATGCGGTGTCTTGATAAACTGAGCAGATATTTGAGGTTTACACAGCTACATTCTCGCCTGAAAATATGTTAAACGTTTATTCTGTGACCCAGAAAGAATAATAAGAGTAACATTAAAACTAACTAGCTGCCGCCATTGTTATAAACTGAGCTGGGCTGCGCTATGAATTCTGGGGCACAGCTTCTTCTTCTTCTTCGGGGTTTAACGTCAGCTGGCATCCTTGTACATGCAGTGCTGCCATCTTCTGTTTCAGTCCGTTATTACACTCTTAAATCCTGCTACTTATTCCTGCGTCTTTTGGGATCTTACAAAGCTTCAAATGACGCGTCGACTATTAAATCAGTCGTCGACGATTTTGATAGTCGACTAATCGTGGCAGCCCTAATTACACCCTATTCCAGTTTTAGGGGAACCTTTTGAGGACATACTCATTGACTGTGTTGGTCCACTTCCTAAAACAAAATCGGGACACAGTATCTTCTGACTTTGAATCCATTGTTAAGGCGCTGATGAACTTCTTTTCTACTTTTGGGTTGCCGAAATCTGTCCAAACGGACCAAGGCTCTAATTTCATGTCTCGGATTTTTGCTCAAGTTTTGCGATCACTTGGTATTACACATCACAAGTCTAGTGCATATCATCTGGAGTCGCAAGGTGCACTCGAGCGTTTTCACCAGACATTGAAATCTATGATGCGGAAATTTTTCCTTGAGTCTGGAAAGGAATGGGATGAGGGGTTGCCGCTGCTTCTTTTAGCGGTAAGCGTGCAGGAGTCGCTAGGATTTAGCCCTGCTGAGCTGGTGTTTGGTCACACACTGTGTGGCCCGTTGCAACTACTCAAGGAGAATTTTCTGTTTGACATAGATGTTCCTAAGGAAAATGTGTTGGATTATGCGAGTTCTTTTAGAAAGTGTTTGCATAAAGCATGCGCAATCGCACGCTCTTGTTGCAGCGCAGGGAAAGATGAAAAGGAAGTTTGATAAGAAAGCTGTGGAAAGGAAATTTGAGGTTGGTGACAAAGTTTTAATACTTCTACTCCTTCAGTGGTCCGTATACAGTGCACGCGAATTGAGTGAAGGAAACAGTGTTGTGTGTGTCATATCAATATGATGAAGCCTTACTTTGCTAGTGGTGTATCAACAGTTGCGACTGTGGGGGTGCCAGTTTCCAAAACCTGGTATGACCCGGTAAGTGATGATGTGGTTTTCGGTTGTGCTGAGGGCTGTGCACGACTTAGAAACTCTGAAATCCTAAGTGATCTAAGGTCATATTTAAATGATGCTGTTCAAAGTGACGTGTGTTGGTTGATTGAGAATCATCCTATTCTTTTCTCTGACACTCCTTCCTGTACCACTGTGCTGGAGCATGATATCGATGTGGGGGACCACCCTCCAATCAAACAGCATGCCTACCGGGTGAATCCCACTAAATGTGCCATTTTCCAGACAGAAGTTTCTCATCCGTTGGAAAATCATCTTGCTGTTCCTAGCTCTAGTGCGTGGAGTCCCCCCGTGTCTCCTAGTGCCTAAAACAGATACAACCCCGCAGTTTAGTATGAGTTTTCGGAAGGTGAACAGGGTGACCAAACCCGACTCCTATCCTCTTCCCAGAATGGAAGATTGTGTCAATATGGTCGGTTCTGCGAAGTTTGTTACTGTTACGCCACATTCTAACGCTCATGAATATCGTGCTGGGAAGCGTTCTCCATTGTGAAGTGTATTTAGATGATATTGTCGTCTATTCAGACACCTGGTCAGAGCATAAACACTCACTGATGTGTTCCATCACTTGGAAAGGGCATCCCTCGCCCTCAATCTCGCCACGTGTGATTTTGGCAAAGCCACTGTGACGTATCTAGGGAAACAGGTGGGTCAAGGACAAGTGCGCCCTATTTTGGCAAAAATCCCTGCTCCTTGTACTAGGCGTGAGCTCCGCCATTTTCTCGGCATGGTGGGCTACTACCAGGGTTTCTGTCGAAATTTCGTGGAAGTGTAAATACTGGGTAGGATATGATACTGGTTTCACACCAGCACATTTGGATGGGGTGTTTAGAGAATTTACAGCATACTGTAAAATCTCAACCAACACAGACATGGACAGCTTCCTACAACTCAGTGAAACTTACAGGTTAAATAAAACAGACTTTTACAGATAATTACAACTGAGACACCGTTTTAATAAAAATATTAAAGTTGCAAGGGAGGATTCTGAGGAGGCGGGCCTCATTGACATGTTTGTCGACACCTATAAAGGTGAAGTACATAAAAGGCTGATCTCGAAACTGTGCTCATGTTTACAATCACGTAAAGAGGACTTAAGGACTTAAAGAGAGAGAAGGAAGTGATATTTCTTCATGTGTATCGTGTGATTTCCAAATCACACGATACACATGATTTTGACCTACACCCGTTTTCAGACTTTGGCTCGTGTGATTAGGTAGAGGATTATTAGGGGGTCCATTGTCCCTCTTGGGGGGAGATACTCCCACAGGGTTTAAATCTGGGACTCTCCACGTTTGACCTTAGAACTGAAGAAGCTTTTCGGATGAGAGGTGAAACGTCTTCAAGCAACTTAAAGAAGTCCAGACGCCTTTTCTTTCCAGGCTCCTTAGACTTTGCTCTAAATGGTTCCAAGAACTACAAGGTTAACTGTTTACTGAGGTCAGCGGTCAGTGTGAGATCATTTTCACATAAACTTCTATACAACAGGACGTCTTCTCTCATTTTTTATATTGTTGTTGTTCAAAGCAGTAATGTTTTGTGAAGTCGATGGAGGGCTTGCTTGATCAACAGATCCAGTATTTAATAAAGTTACACTTAAGCTTGCGTATAAAAACTTGGCAGGAAAAGTGGAGGACAATACAGATTAAATGATTAAATTAGTGAGGTAACAATCAGTTACAGAACAAGAAAAAAAAAGGAAATTAAATAATTGAAAGCTGGGAGTAAAATCAGCTGGAAGATGCCAAATATCAGAAAAGGTGACAGTTCATTTTAATGCAAACTAACTTGTCCGGTTCATGCTGTGTGTTGTTAGACTTACATCAGGAAGAACTGTGTGGTCACTCTGCAGCAGCAGGGTGCACAGCTCCTCTCGGCTCAGGCTCTCCAGCTCATGCTCCCTCAGAAGTCTTTGGTTATGCTCAGAGGTCAGCTCATGGGAGAAGCTGCAGCCCCTCCTGTTATAACAGAATCCACACAACTGAGTCATGACTGGGCGTGCTAGCATTTATTTGCTCAGTTAAGAATAAAAAAACAAAAAACAGCGTCATATGAGACAGCTGTCTTTGTGTAATGATTAATAAGGCTTATCTGCATGGTACAAAGTCAGCGGTTAGGTTCAAGGCAAACAGCCACCCTGATAACTCTTAGAAACAGTACGACATCAATGTGAAAACTAAGTTTGAAGTTTAGGGAAACATGCTTGGGAAACAGGATTAGCCCAGTACTAGATTGTTTTCTATGTGGCTGGGTAGACGCAGCAGCTGCTTTAGTTTTTATTTTTCATAGTAAACTTTGCTGATGTTGGAAAATCTTTCTGTTCTGTGGATGAACGTAGCCATGTTCTTTTCACTGTCACTCTTTTTACTCATTTCAAAGCTAAGCTTCAGTCTAAAAGACAACCAGAAAGCAACTTTTCCTACTGGCCCTCAAAGCCACATTTTGTTACTTGTTTAGGTTAGCTTTTTGAATAAATGTGTCAAACTGCTGTAAATTGTCAGATTTTCCTAACAATACCTAAAGGCACCATCAGTGTCCTGGACTTTAAACCTGTTGATTTTACAACCATATGTGATATAACTACATGACATAAATAACACTCCCTAAATAAGCTCTGTTACTTACTTTTAAGTCCAGTATATTTACCTGAGCTGAGTGAACTGACAGAATCCGCTGAAGAGGATGTTTTTGCACAGGTGCAGACCCCTGCATATCCCCAGACAGTCTTTCACTCTGCAAAGTCTCAGGCGGGTCCTGGCCACCACCTTCGGCTGTCCGTTTGGACAACACGAAACAAATTTCTCTTGGTTACAAATGATCTCCGACAACTTCGTGGGATCTCCGGAAAACAGATTATACACTAAATCCTCCGTGTTGACTGCTCCTTGGCCGGCGCAGATCATTCTCAGTATTTCCGTCTCCATCGTGTCCGAGCTCTGCCTGCGTTTCCTTCCACCTGTGACATTAAACTGACGAAAGCCTCATTTCTGACGACTGGAAAGCGAAACTCAACAACCTTACCTGGACTGATGCTGTAATGCTGCTGTTTTCCACTCTGAGTCGTCGCCGCGATGACCTCCATACATCCCACACCTCGGCTTTCTTCTACTTCACAGCTGAAACATTTCCAGTAATGAAGCATGCCATGAAGATTCGCAACAAAAACATTTAGAATTTATTGAAAAACAAATGTTATGCCAGACTTTCCATCAAACCTTTGAGGTGAACATTTGGATTTTTAGCTGCTAAATTCTAAATGCAGGCTGTCTGCTGTTTGCTGCTTGCAGCGAGGGTTATATGGGGGAACAGAAGAGTCAAATTAATTTTGTAATTCTTTTATTTATTTAGACATAAATAAAGTGTGCGTCAATATTGTAAAATAAATGATTATTACATTAATAAATATTCAAATCAATTTCTAAAACATAAAAAATAACTCTCATTAAAAAACACATTTTAGAATTCCAAAGGAAAAAAAAAATTCAAAATCTTTTTAAAGTACAATTTAAAAAAGAGAAATGAGTAAACAGAATTAAAGGGAAATGGATCAAAAAAACCCAAAGATTTATTTTGACCTTTTCTATCCTTAATAGTTTAAATCATATTACCAAATGTATTAGCTTTGGGATTAATTAAGGGATTAGCACTTGGATTAGCTATCAGATTAAATGTCAGATTAGCTATTCCATTTAACATTTGGAAAAAGCAATGCAAGTTCATCATGCCGTGCGATGTAAGGAGCTCTCCAACTGGTTACAGAGACACAGTCTGGCTGCCTTGATAACTAGCTAGGGACGATGATGCATACAGAGAGAAGGTGCAGTGGCTGGCACTTTGGTGCAATGCCATAATCTCTTAATGTTGACAAAACAAAAGAGCTGATCGTTGACTTTAAGAAGACCGAGGCTGTCCATCTCCTGCTCAGCATTGCTGGTGTCACAGTAGAGAGAGTGAAGAGCACCAAATTCCTCAGTGTTCACATCACAGAGGACCTGTCCTGGACCAGCAACACCAAATCAGTGACAAAAAGGGCCCAGCAGTGACTGCACTTCCTGAGACGACTGAAGTAGGTGCACCTCCCTAAACCCATCCTTATGTATACAACTATATGTGACTGAATTACAACAACTCTGCAAAGATGAGGGGGTCAAAATGATATACCTCTGTGTGTGTGCGTGTGAGAGGGATAATATTATGCATACATATGTCATTTTGTTTGATTATTGTACTTAGTTTGTACATTTGTACAAATCTCATATCCCGATATAAGAATTCTATCGTCCCGATAA